CCCCTCTGCTGGGAGGAAAGGCTGGGAGAGCTGGGGCTGCTCAGCCTGGGGAGGAGAAGGCTGCGGGGAGGCCCTAGAGCAGCTGCCAGTGCTTCAAGGGGGCTTGTGGGAAAGGTGGGGACGGGGTTTTTAGCAGGGCCTGTAGTGATAGCACAGGGGGTGATGGCTTTAAACTAAAAGAGGGGAGCTTCAGACTGGATGTGAGGAAGCAATGCTTTACGCTGAGGGTGGTGAAACCCTGGCATGACAGATTTTATTTCATACAGAGGCACATTTATAGACAACATCTGCTCTTTACGTTTAGTCTTTTTAGTTCACCAATGATTGTTTGTTCCTGGGAAAGTGGGAATGTTTCTATCTACAAGTAACTTTGAATCTGCAAAATAAAGCAAAATTTACATATTTATTCTGAAGATGTCCCTGCTCACTACCGGGGGTTGTGCTGGATGGCCCCTAAAGGTCCCTTCCGACGCAAAGTATTCAATATCCATATCCCCTCACACCTCCTGAAGAAACCGGCTCCCAGGGCTTGACACAGCCTTGGTGGAGAGGGGGTGACGCCTCTGTGCGCTCTGTCCTGCAGCTGAAGAACATGAAGGAGCTGGAACAGGAGAAGGATTTCCTGCTGCAGGGTCTGGAGCTGGTGGAGCGCGCCCGGGAGTGGTACCACCGGCACATCCAGTTCATGCAGGAACGCCAGAGGCTCCTGGGGAAGAACAAGACCAGTGCTGTGAGTCTGGGACTTGTTCTTGGGGTGCCCATCTGCTTGGGTGGGCCTGGGGCTGCTCTGTGGGTTTGCAGAAAAAAAATGGCTGGCCCTGGAGCTGCCCCTTTTCAGGCCCCAGCCTCTTCTTCCTCCCCGTCCTGCAGGAATTCCTCCCAGAGGGCAGTCAGAGCCACCTGGGGCTCCTGGTCCCCAAGCTACAGGAGGTGAACCGCTGCCTGGGCGAGCTCCTTTCCACCGCCGGCCAGGTGAGAGCAGCAGAGGAGCAGCACGTGGACGCTGGCATGAGCATCCATCCTGTCCCCACCTTATGCTGGTGGCTGGGCTGGCATCCAAGCTGCCAGAGCTTCCCCGGGCTCTGGGGAGGTGACTTGGCTGTCTGGGCAAGACAGGGGTGGTGGATGGCCAAGAGGACAGCACAGCTGGTCCCGAGCTGGGCTGGAGGATGCTCAAGGCGTTTGGGGGACTAAGGGAGATCCCCCAAAAGGTGTAGCCATTGTCAAGTGAAGAAGGAAACCATCGTGCTGAGGCAGCCCTGTCTGAGCTGGCTGTCCCACCGGGCTCCTGGCGGGAGCGGGGCACACTGTCAGGAATGCTTCCCACCTCTGCCTGCCTTGCTGGAGACCCTGCGATGGCCTGTGCTGCAACCGTAATCCTGTGCTGGGCTTCTCTCGGTTCCCTGGGTGCCACAGAAACAGCTTCCGGCCTTGGGAAAGGCTGGGGAGGGCCACAGGGCAGGAGGCTCAGTGTCTCATCCCTTCCCTGCACCTTCTCTGCAGCCAGCGACCCCCTCCTCGGCTCTGAGCAGGCTGTTCCCCGGGGCGTCCCCAGCCTCAGCAGGCTCCCAGCAAGCCATCACCATGCTAAAGGAGCAAAACCGGCTTCTCACCAAGGTGAGGGGGGTACGGGGCGAGGAGATCCCCTGGGGGGGGGCTGGGA